CACGAGACAGGGGGGCGCGCCCCCTATCTCGTGGGCCCCCTGGACCTCCATCGACCTCAACTCCAACTCCATGTATTCACGTTCGGGGAGAAAAAAATCAGAGAGAAAGTTTCATCGTGTTTTACGACACGAAGCCGCCGCCAAGCCCTAATCTCTCTCGGGAGGGGTGATCTGGAGTCCGTTCGGTGCTCCGGAGAGGGGGATTCGTCGCCGTCGTCATCATCAACCATCCTCCATCACCAATTTCATGATGCTCACCTCCGTGCGTGAGTAATTCCATTATAGGCTTGCTGGACGGTGATGGGTTGGATGAGATTTACCATGTAATCAAGTTAGTTTTGTTAGGGTTTGATCCCTAGTATCCACTATGTTCTGAGATTGATGTTGCTATGACTTTGCTATGCTTAATGCTTGTCACTAGGGCCCGAGTGCCATGATTTCAGATCTGAACCTATTATGTTTTCATGAATATATGTGTGTTCTTGATCCTATCTTGCAAGTCTATAGTCACATATTATGTGTTATGATCCGACAACCTCGAAGTGACAACAATCGGGATACTTCTCGGTGATGATCGTAGTTTGAGGAGTTCATGTATTCACTATGTGCTAATGCTTTGTTCCGGTTCTCTATTAAAAGGAGGCCTTAATATCCCCTCGTTTCCGCTAGGACCCCACTGCCACGGGAGGGTAGGACAAAAGATGTCATGCAAGTTCTTTTTCATAAGCATGTATGACTATTTACGAAATACATGCCTACATTACATTGATGAATTGGAGCTAGTTCTGTGTCACCCTATGTTATAGCTATTACATGAGGAATCGCATCCGGCATAATTATCCATCACTGATCCATTGCCTACAAGCTTTTAACATATTGTTCTTCGCTTATTTACTTTTCCGTTGCTACTGTTACAACAACTACAAAACCCCCAAAACTATTATCTTTACTTTTGCTACTATTACCTTTATTATCATACTACTTTGCTACTAAATATCTTGCTGCAGATACTAAGTTATCCAGGTGTGGTTGAATTGACAACTCAACTGCTAATACTCAAGAATATTCTTTGGCTCCCCTTGTGTCGAATCAATAAATTTGGGTTGAATACTTTACCCTCGAAAGCTGTTGCGATCCCCTACACTTGTGGGTTATCACCCTCCGACGTGCGACTGCCGCAATCTTCAAACTGTGTGGTTAACTGCAGCTTTGGCGGCCGTTTAGCCGCCCCCAGGACCGGGACGTCATCACCACCCTCCTCTCCGATCTTTGCTCGATGGCGCTCCGCGTGGCTCCCCCGCTGCCGCCTCCTCCTCCTGAGCCTGACTAGACCGCCTGGCGGCTATTTGGCGTGTGTGTTTTGGGTTTAGGGCTTGTTGTGCTGTGCCCTCAGCATTGACCCTTTCTTGTACTATTTGTTCCTGTGGACCTCCGTGTGTGTGTGTGCGTGGTTTGTGTTGGACCTTGTTGGATACTTGTTGTGCGGTGGTTTTATAATATAAAGCGGGGCGAAAGCCTTTTTCGGTAAAGCACATCGCCGAAAGACCTAAAATAAATTCAGAAAAATACGAGCATCGTTGTCAAGTCTGGGACTTGAACCCTGGGTGTTTGGGTAGATAATTGTCCTCCTAACCATCCAACTACAGATCGGTTCGTGAAGGAAAAATAGCTTATGGCATATTTTTTTTTTGTTATGGAACCAAAAAAATATCAAAAAATGTTACAGAGCCGATGTTTCCTACTAACAGTTTTCGGTTTTTAGTGAACTTCTTTATGGTACGCCTGATTCAACGCACGAATCTCAAAGTATGACATGTGGCAATCTTTGTGTGCACACCACTCGCTTCGATCCACCCTTTGGAGTGAACGACACAAACGTTTGCTCCCGGCTACCCTCCCTAAACAATCCATGTGTAGCATGACATTCATCTATGATGTAGCATGGCAATTACTGAAATTCTGAACACATGATGACAACTTTGTCCTGTTGTAGCATGACAATTTATTGGACATGTAAGAAATTTTTGTCTACTATACCATAGCAAATGTTTTTCTATAACATGTCAATTCTCTTTTATCGTTGCATGGCAATTTTTAAAGGAACTTGTAAGCGTGGGCGTGCAACGCATGTATCGTTAAAAAGTTATGAAGGGTCGTTGGCATGGTCAAAATCGTAACCAAATTCAAAATTGAATACCTCAGTTTAATGAAAGAGCTTCAAAGTCAGTGAACATAGTAAATTAAAAGAATTAAATGGGAGAGCTATTTGATAATCGCCGACCCGGTCAAAACCGACTGATCTAATTCTAAATTGAAGACCTCAATTGTTTTTGTGGACTTAAAATTGGGAAGTATAGTGTATAGTATAAAAGAATTGAACGGGAGAGCTTTGAGAAATTATTGTCTCGGTCAAAATTGAATGACCCAATTTCAATTGAAGACCTCAATTAAATATGTGCTCTTTAAAAGTAGAAAGCATAGTGTTATAGAAGATATATTCTTTCTGATACCCCAAAATAGTGAAATAAGAAATCAAAGCAGAGGAAAAAAACTTGTATCCACAATGAATTAAAAAAAAGTCAAATGTATCATTTTAGTCTGGACATAAAAAAAGTTAGTTTTAGACAGACATAGAAAAAAAAAGCTAATGCACACCATGTCGGTGTGCAAGTAAACATGTCATGTGCTCATGTCAAGGAAATCACCCTTGAATGAGCAAAGCCATGATGAAATCACAATTATTGATTGTTCATTGTTTTTGAGGTAGCTCACCATCCATGCTGAATGGTGAACACAATGTCTAGAAACCAGGTTATAAATCGGTCTGGGTCCCTGTTCGTAAGCGGTGTGGTACTAAATGTATCCGACATCGTTCTCGCGTTACCTTGATATACTGGGCCAAACTGAAGGCCCGGTACAGGGAGGAAAGGAATGGACGCGCCAGACCGTCAGCCCGGGCCTGCAGTAGACTTCTGGAGAGTAGACCAGCGGCGGCCGGCGAGGCCGGGAGCACCGGAGGAGGAGGGAGGACGGCCGGGCGGCGCTGTGTGTTTTCCGCCTCATCCTTTCCGGTAGTCGGCACTCGGCGTGTGTACCGGCCGGGGCATCCGCGGGCTCTCGTGTGGACGCCATGGCTGCAAGGTGTTCGACGTAATGCTCCCTGCTTCTGATGGTGCTCACAGGACCCCAGCGAGGTACTTCTTTCGATAATACATGGGCAAGGTACAGAAAATGTATAGCGGCTTAAGTTCTGATGTATACCAAGAAGAACTTTACGCTTGACCATATTATAGTGTCTGCCGCTGATCTGCAGACTGCAGGCATTATGAAGGTGCAGAGTGAGACATGGAGTTGCCTTGTCTTCTCACCCTGAAAGGAGTTACCTTGAGTGGTGGGTGATGAAGGAATGTTTTCTTGCCAGGATGCTTTCTCATCTTCTGTCCACTTGTTTCAGGAATCAGGTGAGAGCATTATGTCCCCTGTCGTCATTGTTGTCGCAATTTTATGGCGTTTTTTAATTGATTAATGTAGATCATATCTGTTGAATTTAATTTGAGTCAACAATGACTTATGTTGTGTCTATCCGTTTGATTCATGCTAGAAGCTTATGCATTTTGGTAAATAGGCACCAGACCACCTGAATACATTAACCAGAGCGAAATTTGTATAAAGGTACACAAGCATGAAGCATGTGACCTTCTCACTAAGCATGTGAGGACAGGTATTGCTTCCAAGACATAGCGACGATCTTGTCACTAAGTTCTTTAAACATACAAGTCCAAACAGTGCGGTTAGGGTGCAGACAACAAGTCCATGCAATCCACATTCCTGAACACTTTGGCGTTGTGGGCATTCCAAATTTTCAAGAGGTGGCACTGGGAGATGTTTCTGCAGAACAATTTAGCCTTTGTATTGAGATTGTCCTTGATGAGCCACCTGAATATCACAGATGGGGGCATATTGGATGGAGGAGAGTCATGTTAGTGGGATTCGACAATAGGTTATTAGAGAATTGAGGTTTTTTCCCATGCAAAGGATGACTTCGATCTAGGCACGTGTTTGAACAAGTTTTTTTTTTCTCAATTTTTTTTTTTTTGCGAGGGAACAAGAGAACCAGTTTCCAGAAAATCTTAATACTTTCAGTATTTTTCCGCTCGGAACTTCCAAACGAACTTTGAATTCAAAAAATTTTAGTGTAATAATACATTTTGTCTCAACCCTGGGATGTCGAGGTGATGATTCGCACACATTATCACCTGGACTAAAGCAATTATGTGAAAACATTTAGGTGGGAAGCTCTGGTGTTGAAGAATTAGAAGGACAGGTGGCCAAGAGAATTCTTTCTGGAAAGAGGAAAACCCCCGGTCTCTGCATCAATTGACGCAAACATTTTATTTATTATTAAACACAATGACAAACATTCAAACCGATCGACTTACACAAAAAGAAAGAGAAACCTGAGGCCATGTACATTGAACCTGCCTCACAGTTGCATCTCCACCATACTAGCACAAACCCTATGACCATGGACCATAATCCACCGGTCGAGGAATCAGAGGATTTTGTGGAACTTATCTGCAATAGCCAATAACTGCCAGCCATTACCAGTTACCTTGTTACAACTCAGTTACCTTTGTTTCTTTTAATGGCCTGAAATCAGTAGAAATAGATTTGATCTGTTTATCTCAGTCATCCCAAGAGCAGTGCTTCTCTTTCAAGCAATAGCGCTTCTAATCTTCATTTGCAGGCTGCATTCTTTTCTGTCAGAGATCTTTGGAACTTCTTATATGGACAGGTTTCTTCGTAGTGCACTCTTATTACTCTGTAGTTCTATATGCTGGGGGATAACTCACACCCTCCTTTTATTATTCTCTAGTTCGCCATCGTATACCAACACCAAAAATGTATGTGCATGTTTTAGTACATTGCACAATTGTGGAACTCTATAGGATGCACGGGCTGTCATGCATATTCTATACCGTACTTTCGCAAACAGTAAATCACATTTGTGGCCGTGTCTGCACAACGTAGATCTTTCCATCCTTCACCACTCCTTCAATATCCTGTGGAGACCCATATAGCTCCTCAATAGCATGACCAGCACGAGCAATGTTTGAGAGTATTGAGTTACGGAAACTGCAATCTGTAATGAGGGGATCATTTGTGTAGTCAAGAATCACTTCTTCTTCCTTGTCCATAGGCACACTACAGAAAGAACAGCAAATGATTACCTGCAACCCCCATAGAAAAGAGAATTTAAAATGTACAATCGTGTATCATGAAAGATTTTCAGTCACCTGTCATAGAGTCCAGCCCCAGCATAGCCTTCCAAGTCCTCACCATTTGAGTCAGAACGGAAGATGACCGACTTCTTTATGAAGAGGCCAATTGGCTTGCTTGGATATCCCAATACCTAAAACAATTTTTTTAGTAAACTCATATAACACCTTCACTCAGGGACAGTACGGAGAAAATAATAATTGCTAGTAATATTGGTTTACCCTGGGAGAGTCAAGATTATCCTTCTTGCAGACGAAGCTCATTGCACGACCAGGAAAGGCTCCCACAAGGGTCTCCCCAAGCCCTTTAACAACTTCAGCGTATATCTCTGAAGACTCTCCAGATGATGGGTTGGTAGTATGTATCACGAAGGCGTAGTCTGCACTCACAACTTCTTGCACAAGAACCGACATGCAAAGGTTGGCATGATCAAGCTTCACTTTCCGGGTGCTGAAGTACGCTCTTTCATTCCATTTTGAGGCCCACACCTGACAGTATGCAAGACGGGATTTTTCAGTCTCGCTAATTTCTGAATATTGTCTATAATGAATTCTAGTATCAGCTATGTCACCTTTTTGATTGCCATCCATGCTTGTTCCCAACGCTGTTCACCTTCATCTCCAGGCCATGGCATTCCAGAACCTTGCATCTTCTCCTTGAGTTCCTTCACCTGAAAATAAATCAGTGTAATAATTCAGATTTTGAATTAGGGAGCTTACAAAGGAACTGTTACAAGTAGGATTATGTTGCAAAAACAAGCTGTTGCAGTTGAATTTGGGAGCTTACATAGGAACTGTTCAAGTAGGATTATGTTACAAAGAACCCTTGCAAGTAGGGAATAGTTTGTTACCAGATCAGTAGGAGCTGTTAGGTTCAGCAGAACATTTCGGATTTCATTAAGAGCACCAAATTCTCCTTGATTGAGCTTGTCCGTTAGGATCTGTACCTTTTGGGCTACTTCCTGCCAATTGAAATGGACCATAAATGCATTGAGTATTATTATGCCAGTTCAGTAGTTCTCGAAAACCACACTATAACTTAACATGGTCTTTGAATAGTAGACATCTGACAGTTCACCAAGAATTTTTTCAGTAGTTGCGTCAAACATGCTATATAGTTTAGAAAAACAATAAATGCATAGTATTGCTTCAGAAGTAGAGTTTAAGAAGTGAACGCCGCCACCTATGTTTGTGCGTCCTTTTTATGTGTGTTGGGCTTGTTGAGCTATGCCCTAACAGAACCTTCTCTGTTTGGTGTGTGTGCGTGTGGCTGTTGTATTGTGAGACTCTGCGTGCGGTGGCTGTGTGTGTGTGTTCCGCTTGTTGGTACCTTGTTGAACCTTGTGCTCGGTGGTTTGCTTTATATATAAAGCGGGGAGAAAGCCTTTTTTGGTAAGAAGTGAAAGCCATGTGATGCTTAGTATGATGCATTTGCGAGAGATTAATCTAGTGATATGATACCAACCTTGTTAGTCGTATCAGACAAAACTGTTTCGAACGTTCCAAATGGGAGTGCAACTGACGTTGGGACACTGACCCATGATGGCACCTTTCCGTTGAGGTAAGCTATATTCCGAGATTTAGCTCCGACCTAATAAAAAAGTACACTTGAATAATTCAAAATATGCATAATTTATTTGTGATAGAATATGAATATGCTCCCTGGTATGGTCACTTTCAGAAAGTACAGATGCATGATCCATAGGTAAGATCAGAAATTCAGAATGGCATTGGAGTAATGACCTTTTCATCAGAGAATTCATCAGCAGATATTGCATACTTTCCAACAAATTGCTTCTTCACTAGTGACAGAGATGGTGCTGATTGGCCATCTGCTGTATCAGGGGAACTTGAAACTAGAAGTTCATTCTCTGCAATCTCTCTATTAAATGTGCAGACAGGTAGATGTTAGGCATATCAAATAAAATTCTCGGCGATGACTTGGTATGGCTACGTTGTAAAGAATAAATATTACCTGTAGTTTATATCTACAGAACCTGGCTTTAGTGAAAGTACCTTGCCTTCATTTTGTTGCAGTTCAGAGAAGATATTTGGGTCAAAGCATGTGGCAAACAATACCTTCAAAGGAAGAGATCGATTATTATCTAGCATATATGGTAGACTAGAGTAATAAATATACTTATTAGCGTCCAAACGGTTTTGTTAAGAGAGATGACCTTGCTATTCCTTGCTCGAACTGAGACATGGGACAATACATCGGGCATATCTGGAGTAAGGACGGCGACAACACCGTCAGGTATTTCCTCTTCTCCCTTGACACCTTTTACCACCAAAACTGTGGGCTTGTCATAAGATTGGTCTTGAACAGTGAGCAATTGGTCTACGGCAACCACATACCCCGCTACTTCAACTGGGCTTATGATCTGCCAACTGTTAAAATATATAAGATGCTATTTAGAGATTGGGATCAGCTTCCATATAACTTTGAGGTTATCATCTTAAAAGGTACAATAACGCAAGACTATTATAGATATTGTAGTGGCAGCAATAAAATTATGTGTCTTACCTTCCTAGGTTTGCAACGTTCCTAAGAACAGGGTCAAGACGATTGAGGAGTAATGACAATGAAGCGGCTGATCCACTACGGATAATTTCCTCCGTAAATATGTCAAGCTGTAGATATGATATTTAATACATGTATGCGGATAGGAAAATAAAGTAAAATAAATTATGATTGATGGAAGCACTTACTGTCCATTTCTCAATTCCAAGTAACGAACCAAGGTATTCTGCTGAAGGCTGAAGAATATTATGGTATTCTTCTCCCTTGGTTGCAAGTGCAAGTCTAGTTCTGTCTAGAAATGCTTTTGCATACAATGCCCACTGATTATCAGATTTGTTTGACATTTCAAGTGCATGGTTCCATCCCTTTAAGAGACAAATAAGAACACTGTCATGTGCAGCAAGACCAACAAAAAATATATTTGTCCATTTGTACTATCAACATGTGGTTTTACAAGCAAAAGGGAGTTGTTTGATCACCAAATCATAATTGTTTTCTTTGAATGCACCTTGCTCATCTTTAAGTGTAAGATCAAAATAACACACAACAAAATCATGGTTGTGCGGAAGTTTGTACCTTTAAGCAGTATAGGAGATCCTCATTGTCATCGGTGGACAACGCAACATTTTCAACAACTAGACCGATGAAGTACATGAGTTTCTGGATGAAAAGGAGATGATTATGAGACAGTACGCATGCCAAAGTAACAAACATTTATCTTTGTAAATGGGAAGAAACAGCGAGATATGTTTAGTTAACCTCAGGTGATGCATTGTTCAGATTTTCATATGACCTTTCAACTGCTGTCCTAACAGTAGAATCAAGAGCAATGTCCAAAAATATGAGATCCTTCAAGCGATCCGTTGAGCCAAGGAGCAAAGGGCGAAGCGCAGCTCTTGCCTCCAAGAGACCCTGTAAGGTAGCAATTAATACTACTGAACTATAATGTCTGTATTGTTTAATAGCACTGGTGCAATAGGAAAATGAATGCCTGAAAATTTGATGTGAGTAAGGAGTCTTCAAACAGCAGTGTTACCTCAACAAGCGATTCCACTGATTTATCCTCAATGTGCTCAAGGACAAACTTAAGCAATTCCTGTGCCCAAATGATGAATATCAACACAAACATGCCTTCATATGCTACAAATAATAATGTATTAAAAGGGAAGTTTAAGCATATTTACAGAAAATCCAGATGGTAATCCCTTCACAGGATTCACTTCGACACCGACCATGAAACCCTGACTCTGTAACAAGGAAATATTGTCATAACTAATACGAGCATGGTTTCAATAATTTAGCTGATATATCATGGTACCTCTGACGTGTACCCTGTACAGGTTCCTATAGCAGATTCTAGATCAGCACCGGAGTGAACAGCCTGTGATATTAGAATTATAGTCACACATAACAGTCAAGTAAAGATAAGCAAAATGGCATTTCCATAAATACATCACTATATCATGTTCGCATTTTCTTCCATATGGAGATGAGTAGAACTTTACAAAACAAAAGGTCTGGAGTTACCAGCCATCTTGATGTCTCTAAGCAAGATTATGTGCTACATACTAGCATATCTTTCACAATGAAGCTGACCTTGAGGCTTCTCATGTAGTTTGTTAAGTCGCGTAGTAGACCCTCCTTCTGGTCCCTCGTTAAATTTGGCTCTGAGTGAATAGGGTGGTCGTAGCTTGCTAATCTTTCCTTTGTTATGCCATTTTTGTTTAAAGTATCCCAATAAACTTTGATGTCAAGGTCACTGTTCATATAGTCCATCAGTGCCTGCAAAACATGAGATATAGTCATATACGTACCGTAAAGTCTGAATTCCTTACGGTGCTAAGAATCCAAATATGAATGCCTTACCTGGCAAATCACCACATCGTCTGGGCTTGTATTGTTGTGTAGTTTTTGATGCCATTCTTCCATCATTCCACCCATGCAGTTATTGTTTCTCTACAATGAAAACAACTGATGTACACCCCGCAAAAAAATACTATTCCTGTATCGTGTACTCTTTCATCAACAAATCAGCAAATGAAAGTGATTGAATAAACTTACCTGTATTACTAAAATCTCATCACGAATACGTTGACCGACATCACCCTGACCTCCACGACCTACTGCGGCCAATATCATTCTTAGCATCTCCCTGTACTGTGGATACGTTCTGTAGAGACTTTCAAGATTGTCTGTGAACCTATCTTGTGCTTGGCTAATCTCACTGCATAATTGTAAGAAGGGGCAACATGTTATTAAAGCTACTTGAGTTCTGTTTGGTGGAAATGCTATAATTATCATTCTACTGAGCTTATTATGATTTTTTTTTCTTTGTAGGGTTGATGAAATGAGGGATACAAAGTGCATACCGTGGCTTCACATTATAATTCTTGTTCCAGATAAGTTGCCTCGTGGCCATGAATCTCATCCAAACCAGTAGTCCAGCAAGACCCAATTGTCCCACATCTTTTGCTTGTTCAACTAGGTCGGATGCTATATTGAATCTGTAGAGGAATAACACCAGTTTATTGATCTACCAGAGAACTACCCGTGTTACTATAGACTATAGTCACCATTTAGCATTTTACCTATGCATAAAAGATTTTTGGGCCTCTCCCTCTAGATCGGCTATTGTTTCTAGCAAAGCCTTTGCAGTCCCTTTACCAGCATCACTACTATCCTTCTGCTGCATGGCAGGTATGAGATTTTGTTAGCACTTTTGAAGGAACTCTTGGCTAATATTGGGGAGAAAATGAAATATGGTCGAAAGCTGAAGTGTAAAGTCACCTCTGAAGTCTTGGCAGCTCTCCTGCTAAAATCAAGGTAAAAGTCAGAGGTATTGTTCTTTATCCATGTTTGATTAGACCGGAGGACAAAAGGCATCCCCTTATAGCTGTCGGCATCAAGCTCTATCTCCAGAACCTTGACATGTCAAAAAGTTCCATCAAATGTAAACACCATTACAAAGTGGAAACAAATACTGCAATGATAAATTTATGTTTACCTGGTAATGCAAACCATCTAGTTCAGCATCAGAGAATGAACTCTCACATGCCAGTTCAAGCAATGTCGAACCAGCAGGTGGCACGCCTGGAGGAGGTGCCTGGAAAAAGTTTACATGTTAGTCTCGTTGTTAATCTTACCTGGAATCTTGTGATGATTTTACCTTCCACTCTCCAGCCTTCTTTGCCAGTGCCCAGTGGAGAATAAGTGGCTCGGCGTGATTTGTGGCCAAGTGAACTTTGAACTTTCCTTGTACTTCTGACATCGATGCCTTCAAAAAGGGAGAATAGTTTAGCCCGCATTGCAATATGAGGCTAGAAGCATAAGATTAAGGTGTAGAATATCTATCTGAACTAACCATGATCTCCTTTTCGCCCAGTTTGAAGACCTTTTTGCAGAGGACTTGGCAACCATTCTTCTCTTGTAGTGACTTCAGGAAGAGATCAAGAACCGTGGGATTCCGATCTGGAGTAGCTTCTGGTGCCTTATTTACGTCGGTGGAACTGGATGTGTGTTTACTGAGGAGTTGCATGACATCTCTGTTTTTGCGTGTGACCCTTTCAGATGAGAAGTTTTGGTTTGTTGCTGCAGGAGCAGAATGCTGTGCCTGATGGTGGCCTGGTCGTATATGGATTAGGAAGTTCTCGCCGTTATTTTTGAACCTGTTCAATGAAGAGGCAAGTAGGTTTGTTGGCATCATACACATGGGTAAAGATGTAAAACGGGACGACGATCTTGAATGCCACACTGACCATTTGTTCTGTGCCTCATCGACGAGAACAAACTCGATTGATTGGAGAGCTGGATCGTCTATCTCGATTTTCAGTGTAGAATTGGAACCAGACTGGTATTCAGAAGACAAAATAAGTCAGCAAATAAATTGATGTAACATCAGTTGATCATAATCTCTGAGTAAGAATTGACATTTATAATTTGCGAGAGAATTGATATTTATTTTGGCATGTACGCCATTCCTAGTGTTGTCTAGCACACAGATTCACAAGCATGGGAACTTCGTTCAGCATAATTTCTATGTAGGCTTCCACTATTCGCAAAAATTATGACTTGCTAGCAACATGTAATCAAAGATTTGTTGTATAACAAAAAGTTGCTTTATCAAAAAAAAAAAGACCAGTATGGGGGGCTTTTTAATTAAGAAGGAGAATGTGAGACAACAACATTCTACCCAAGGTTCGCGTGGGTTATGAGACGCCATTGCGCTCTGGCCACTGGACTAGGAGTCCATCCATTGCGCTCTGGCCACTGGACTAGGAGTCCATCCACAAAGTTACTTTATCTTTTGTTTTGTATAAGAAACTTGTACTAAGCAAGGGATAATTAATATGGATTAGAGGGAGTACTCCATCCGTACATAAATGCAAGTCTTTTTAAAGATTTCAATATAGACTACATACGGATGTATATAGACATATTTTAGGGCGTAGATTCACTCATTTTGCTCGGTATGTAGTCCATACTGAAATCTCTAAAAAGACTTATATTTAGGAACAGAGGGAGTATATGGTATTGTATAAAAGAAAGTGCACTATCTTTGACACTTTGTCATGTATTTACAATATTTGCAATCTCTTACCTAACATAGTGTTAAATACGTTGTCATGTATATGTTTGATAGATGTTGTGACCATGTCTAATGTGGTACTACCTCCGAATACATGACTCTAAAGAAAGCGTAAAATATATAAAAAAACTTTGATTATTAAAATACTGTAAAGTGTTAACATTGGTAAGGTAAAAATCACATTTTTAGATTTGCCAGGAAAATATTTCTATAATATACATTTCTTAAGAAATTTTATTAATATATAAATATAAGGTAAGAAACAAATGTTGCGATGGAGACTGTCAATGTCCAAACTTACATGTATTTCGGAATGAAAAATAATTGTTTAAAATGTTTAGATTGCTCGGGTGGAAATAATAATATTTTTTCATTAAATCACTTTTAATTTCACAATTTTCATTGACATGTATGCACAAAAGATAATGCTCAAATATGCTTTTTTTAAATTTAAAATATCACGTGTTGTGATATAGAATAATTATATAGTATTTAAAATGCAATAATATAATTATTGTGATGTAAAAAGATGATGTTCCATTATTGATACATAGATAGGGATGACGCCAATAATTACACATTTTCTCCTCAGTTTCACACAAAAATCATCCCGAGAAAATAAAGCTGAGATTAAGCAAAACATATATCTACGACTATTACGTCACCTATTGACACTTCTGACTTATTACCACCGTGAATTTTTGTGAGCCGATTCAAACAAAAGTAGTCATGAATCAAGTCTAACAAATTAAATATTTATATTGAACTTCCATACTTACTTATAACTCGGTTTTATTTATCAAAATAATATTAAATATTTTGATCAATTATTTATGATAATTGAGCATATGATTAATATTAACAATAGTCTTTTTTCTTCTATAATTGTAATGTATACCCATGAAAAATGTGCATGTAGTGTGCTAAAGTTAGACTATGTTTGTAATGAAAGTAAAATTTTAGACGCATTACGCCTTAAAGTATATTTAAATCACATCCCCATGTGAGAAAATAAGAAAAGATAAAATATAGTGGCATGCTTTCGTATATTAATTTGTGACACCGATATGAATATAGTGCATATATATTTGTATGTGTCCTTAAATATTTTGGTTGAGATCTCCAGAGCGTTTGGTCTCAGAAATATCCTAATAGCAGTTTCTAGTTTATGATTATATATATATATATATATATATATATATATATATATATATATATATAAGTAAAAGGTTATAGAGTATATTAAATATTTATGAGTAATTTATCACCGAATCATTAGCATGTTGATGTTACATTGTTTATCAGGATCAAATGTGCTTCACATGTTACATCCGGTTAAATAATTCATTGAAACATGTATGTGCTTTATATTTGGTGCCCAAATGGAATTGTTCTGGCTAAGATAGTCTCCAGTATGCAACACGGGAGATGTTAACAACGTAACTAAACGCCACTGTATATCATGTTGACTCGTTTGAACATTATTGGCTTGCAGTGTAAACTTACTTTAGCAAATTGGACATATTATTTTATCTAGATTATTAGCCTCTTTGACTTAATAATCATTAACTAGCTGTGTAATGATTATTAACATACAAGTTAGTATGTGGTGAGGGGCCTGCATTTGTCTCATCTCAGAGCAGTTACCATGTTTGTCCTGACCTATAGATAGGCCATGCGTGCATGGTGAGTTCACATAAACGTCCTTCGTGCCACACATAATCTTCCTCATCTTCTTGCTAATCAGACTCAACTAGTTTGGTTGTGCCATTCCCAATCGACCTTCCCATATGTCAGCTTCACCTTTACCATCGTTTCATGACAGAGAAGTTGAAGCAAAGGGATGATCCAAACTAGTGGGGTCGACCAATTCGCCCCACCCTCCTCATGGCACATCAAATGGTCTTTGTGGCGATTTTGGACCCTGTCATGCGGACATGCCACACGGGAAAATATCTGGTGCACCGGAGCTTGTGGTGCTACCGGTGCACCGAACTCACATTATGTCTTTAAAAGTTCAAAAAAAATCTGAATTTTTTTAGCACACTCACACAACATCAATGTCTCTTGTGATAAAATTCCAAGTCAAAATTCGAAACAAAACTCGAAAAACAAAAATGACGAATTCAACACTGAATAGTACATAACATAACTTGGGCTTTAGATTTGACCCATTATCACACTGGTGTCAAATTTTTCATTTTTGTATCTCAAAAAATATTTCAAACTTTTATACGAAATTTTGTGACATCATACATTGATATTGCATTAACGTGCTAGAATTTTATTCAGATTTAAAAATATATTCTATGGCATCCGGCACACTGGTAGCACCATAAGTGCGGGTGCACCGGGTATATTCCCCATGCCACATAGGCTAGCATGGCTTATGAGCCTCCACATATCCTTCTGAAAAGGAGCTTGTACCCCCGGCATCTCACAGGTCAAGAAGTAAGAGTGGTGGTTATGAGAAAAAGGAAATCCTAAAATTGTGGTTAAGTAATTTACGTGCAGTAACGTTTGTGATTTAATCGACTATGACTTAGATGATTGATGATTGTCCATATGTATTTTTCTCAATCAAGTTGCAAACACGCGGAGGGTCTCCTTTTTCCCTCAAGCCAACTTAAAATGAATGGTTGGAGTGTAACCAATAGAGTGGTACGCCAAGCCCATCAAGGATCAAACAAAAACTTTGATGCCTCATTGATGCGGAGTATTCTTTAATGGGAGATGACATTCCATAGATAGTGAGGCGCTAATGGTGATTTTCTTCAACCTTAAAGCTTCGCCATCCATGAAGATTTCGTCAATCTTGAAGCTCCGCATATCGATCTGGTCTTCAACAGGCGTTGTGTGAGGGCATGTCTGTGCTTGTTTGCGTGTGTGCATAAAAAATCAATGGATAAGTCAACATGATCATTTTTTTTCACTTTGTCTTGCACAATGAATATAAAACAAGTGCGTCAATAAATAAACGAATAACAAAAACATTGTCCAGCCAGTGACCTTTTTTGACACTAATTTGAACACGGCAAACAAATTCTTACGTGACCATTTCTTATGACCCCGGTGTTCCAAACGTGGATATATATGGTGCTAGAATTCCAAACCGGTCTTACTTTTCTTGTAAGCCAAATCTCAAAGAGCAGAACAGAACAGAACAGGAAAACGAATTAATGTACGGCAAAAGGCAAACACGCACGCTTTTGAAGGGAGTCCTGAGGGCGGCGTCGTCGACCGCCCTTGTCCCCTCCGGCCTCCGGGCCGGCAGCACCCATTCCCTGGGACGACCAGAGCATGTAGTATCCCGTAAGCAAGCATGGTACGAACTAATCAAGCAAGCAGATGTTGACTGTGAGAAACACATATGTGCGTGCAGTGCAGTGCACCTTCTCCCCTGCTGCAGGGCGCCCCAGTGCAGCGCGAGCGCGCCGCCGGCGTTGGTCGCAACCAGCTCGACCTCCACCGCCGAGCCCGCGGGCTTCACGGTAACCTGCATTCGCAAAGCACGTATGCACGCGAGCATCAGACCCGTTTTCCGCGTATCAGGGCACACACATGCATGTTAACTTGCACTACAAACGATCGTTTCGTGACGCCACCTGGAGTTCAGAGTTAGAGCCCAGGCCAAACCTCCCACCATTCTGCACGCAGGGACAAGCAAGAACACGGTACGATCAATCAAGTAGTACAAGAAAAGGAACAGATGGATAGAATAGAGACCCCCTTGATCGCACGTATAGTTTAACTTCATGCAGGGGTCGCCTTGCCTACCTGGGAGGAAGCGGCGACCACACGCCGGCGGTGCCGGGAGGACACGGCCGCGTGCAGGCGGCGACCGGCGCCGAAGCGCGTCGGGGGTGGCGCCCACCGCAGCGGCCTCGGCCCGCCGGCGATGGCCGGCGCGTGGATTACCCCCGCCAGCGCCGTAGCTGCGTAGGATCCAGCCATGTTGCACCCACTGCTGCGTAGACTGATTGGGCTTATTTGTTCGTTCGATTGATGCTTTATTCTACTCTTCTGCGACCATTGGATGATCGGAGGGGGGAAGAAGAAGGGGAGAGCGACGAAGAAACTAGTAGGAGGCGAGGAGGAACAGGCGGAGCTAGCGGTGGCCGGAAATGGCATTCATGGCGCGCATGCATGCAGCATGGCCCTCTTCGGCGTCCACCTTTTCCGGTGCCCTGTTTGGCCCTGTACTATGTGTTCAGAGCCAGTGCATGTCTGCCTATGCTAAAAACATACACTCTCCTCATAATTAAAATAGGATATGCATATGCATGTCTCCTTATTTTATGGATACCAAAGAAGGGCAATCTATCTATTTATATATCTATACATGCACATATAATTAAACAACGTATATGGGATTCAAGATTGGACCAAATGAATTCCCACGTTAGCCCTAAGATAGGAGATACAAGTAAACTCCAACGTTAACCCTAAGTAGTAGATATCTATGTGTCCATTCAGCAAAACGCCCGCGTGGACCCTGACCGGAGAGAGTCATACGCACAACATGCCACATGGCAGCAAGCTTGTAATATGGATTCAAGTAAGCCTGTTAGGAATGCTTCCTTCTCTACTGAGGAGTATCTTATAAACCAATATTTGTGAAGATAAGATAAGCATGGTTCACCAAAAGTCAAGTAGATAGGCACATGATCAGAAGTTTCACATCAAAAAACAAGATCAGAAGTCAGGATAAGTTTAACAACGGAGTCCCTCCAAAACTGTTAACTCTTCGGGGGTTGCTCCTCAAGCCACCCCTCAGTGCTCAAATTTGAGCACAGTGAGTAGCCTCCTCAAATCTTCTATCTTCTCTTGTGACCCCTCAGACTTTTGGCATGTTCCCAACCGCCGCCACCCACCACGCTGGTGGCACCTGACCATCCATACTAACTCCATGTGGCCGTGTTGAGTTACCCACAACTTCTCCTCTTCCGCCGGCCACCCTGGTGACCAGATCATCGTTGGTACCCTTCCTCGTCGCCATGAGCTCCACCCCTCCGCCGACCACGACAATGCCTGATTCCCCATACACGCATCTTTCGGAGGAGAAGGAAGCCACCGATGACATGCGCAAGATCCTGCCATCTCGAGCTCTGTCCCCTTGTTAAGCTTTCCTGATGGAGTCTAACCGCCACGAGCTTCCTCGACCAAGGCCAACTAGGTCGACGGTTGACGCCAAAAATTGGTTCCTCCCTCCATGTCGTTTTCGTATTCGGATCCTTGCCAGTGCACCAACGTTGACTGCTATGTCAGTCACCTCTCTCCACCCACGATGTGTTTGGCCCCCCCCCCCCCCCAGTTCATAATTGTCCTTTTTCTCAAATTCTTTTTCCATTTATGCACTCAATTTGATGCTAAAAAATAAGTAATTCTGATGCTAGATGGCCCTTTATATTCAATGATGTTATTGATACTTAGGCCTGAGAGAGATAGCTCTTTT